CTCGCTCCCCCAGTCCTCGCTCACCTTCCTGGCCACCTTGGCGCGCAGCACCCCGGAGGAGGAGGAGCTTCAGCTGCAGGAACGTATAGAATTCAGCAAGAGAGCCGTCTCCTGGGTCCTAGAGACCTCCAGCAACCTCCACCGCCGCATGCAGGAACTATGTGATCGCCTTCACAGCGGAGGTAAGGGCACTGCCGGAAGCTGTCACTGGGAGAGAGTGTGGCCCCTTTGGGGGGCTGCTCAGTACATAGCTATTGGGGGTCCCCCCGTATATGTCACCTGCATTGAGGGATGGCGTGCCTGACCTCTGGCTTGGGGGGGGCGGGGTGTCGGGGGCCCCCATGTGACTCGTCTCCCCCGTCTGTGTCCTCAGCAGCGTTCGAGCAGCTGGACGAGTCTCTGCGCACACTGAACAAGGAGCTGATCACCGAGAACCACAGACTGCAGGACCTCGCCACCGTCCTGCAAGAGAAGCACCACCGCATCTCCCTGCAGGTGAGACACCGCCCAGATCACATGACCAGTGATGTCATCACCGCGCCTCCACACTCCTCTATACAATGCTGGACATAGCTTTCCAAATACAGGAAATTGGTAACACCCACAGGGGGGCGGGGCTAAGGGCTTAAGGGGAGGGCGGAGGTCGGATAGAAGACTGAAGAGGAGGACAGAGGTCAGATAGAAGACTGAAGGGAAGGACGGAGATCAGATAGAAGACTGAAGGGGAGGACGGAGGTCAGATAGAAGACTGAAGGGAAGGACGGAGATCAGATAGAAGACTGAAGGGGAGGACGGAGGTCAGATAGAAGACTGAAGGGAAGGACGGAGATCAGATAGAAGACTGAAGGGGAGGACGGAGGTCAGATAGAAGACTGAAGGGAAGGACGGAGATCAGATAGAAGACTGAAGGGGAGGACGGAGGTCAGATAGAAGACTGAAGGGAAGGACGGAGATCAGATAGAAGACTGAAGGGGAGGACGGAGGTCAGATAGAAGACTGAAGGGAAGGACGGAGATCAGATAGAAGACTGAAGGGGAGGACGGAGGTCAGATAGAAGACTGAAGGGAAGGACGGAGATCAGATAGAAGACTGAAGGGGAGGACGGAGGTCAGATAGAAGACTGAAGGGAAGGACGGAGATCAGATAGAAGACTGAAGGGGAGGACGGAGGTCAGATAGAAGACTGAAGGGAAGGACGGAGATCAGATAGAAGACTGAAGGGGAGGACGGAGGTCAGATAGAAGACTGAAGGGAAGGACGGAGATCAGATAGAAGACTGAAGGGGAGGACGGAGGTCAGATAGAAGACTGAAGGGAAGGACGGAGATCAGATAGAAGACTGAAGGGGAGGACGGAGGTCAGATAGAAGACTGAAGGGAAGGACGGAGATCAGATAGAAGACTGAAGGGGAGGACGGAGGTCAGATAGAAGACTGAAGGGAAGGACGGAGATCAGATAGAAGACTGAAGGGGAGGACGGAGGTCAGATAGAAGACTGAAGGGAAGGACGGAGATCAGATAGAAGACTGAAGGGGAGGACGGAGGTCAGATAGAAGACTGAAGGGAAGGACGGAGATCAGATAGAAGACTGAAGGGGAGGACGGAGGTCAGATAGAAGACTGAAGGGAAGGACGGAGATCAGATAGAAGACTGAAGGGGAGGACGGAGGTCAGATAGAAGACTGAAGGGAAGGACGGAGATCAGATAGAAGACTGAAGGGGAGGACGGAGGTCAGATAGAAGACTGAAGGGAAGGACGGAGATCAGATAGAAGACTGAAGGGGAGGACGGAGGTCAGATAGAAGACTGAAGGGAAGGACGGAGATCAGATAGAAGACTGAAGGGGAGGACGGAGGTCAGATAGAAGACTGAAGGGAAGGACGGAGATCAGATAGAAGACTGAAGGGGAGGACGGAGGTCAGATAGAAGACTGAAGGGAAGGACGGAGATCAGATAGAAGACTGAAGGGGAGGACGGAGGTCAGATAGAAGACTGAAGGGAAGGACGGAGGTCAGATAGGAGACTGGAGGGGAGGCTCCACCCACTCTGTCCTCCGGTGGACTTCCCTATGACGGGCTGATTCTCTGTTGACAATTGCTTAGGCCCCGTTCACATATAGCGAATTGTCGCGCGATATCGCGAGAAGTCGCCGGCCAATGTTATTCAATGGAGCTGTCTTAACTCCATGTCGCGGTCGCAAGTCGCTTCTACCGGACCCTTTTTTCTGCGGATTTTGCTTTTTTTCTATGGAGCCCGACGGGGAAGGTCACGCTACCGTCGCTGGAACGTCGCCCCGAAAGTCGCGCTATTCTGGCCGTGCGGATCCGCTGCAAAAGGTATGTCGCTAGGTGTGAATGGGGTCTTAGTATGTAGGACACGCCCCCCTGGAGGCTGGTGATTGGCTGGTAGGTTGTGACCTCTCCCGTGTCCTCCTCCAGCACCACGAGCTCCAGGACCGGGCGGTCTCCTCGGAAACGAAGGTGTCGGAGATGGAGCGGAGCATCGAGGACCTCCAGTGGGATATGGAGAAGCTGAGGAAACACGAGCAGAAGCTGAACCGTCACCTGGCCGAGGCCCTGGAGCAGGTTAGTGGCACAGAGCCTGACTTGCAGTACGCCCAGGCCCCGCTGTGTGTGCTCATACATCTCTTCTCATACAGCTGAATTCCGGCTATCACATCTCGGGGAGTTCCGGAGGCTTCCAGGGGGGACAGACCACTCTGACTGTGCAGAAGGTAATGTCCTCCATCTTGTCCCGCCCTCTGACCCCTGACCTCCCCCTCCTCCGCTCCTCACATTGGTCTCTCCTCAGTTTGAGATGCTGAACGCGGAGCTGGAAGAGAACCAGGAGCTGGCCAACAGCCGGATGTG